CTTTAAAAATTCCCCACTTATCCCAGTTGAACAAATCCGTTACCTAGGACTCCACCTCGACAAACGACTCACATGGAATCCTCATACAAGTCTGAAACGACAAGAAACCGCTCGACGTTTCCGACTACTCCAACATTTACTAGACAAACCCTCTAAGCTTTTAATCAATTACAAACGACTCATATATATATATGAAAATAATAATAACTATTTGGACTTACGGAATTGAGCTTTGGGGCTCCACTAAACCATCGAATTCGTCTCGTGTCCAATCCAAAATCCTTCGTAAAATCCTCAACGCTCCTTACTTCGTCACAAACAAAATCATCCATACAGACCTTAATGTTCCATATGTTTCCGATTTGGCCCAATCCAGATACCTATCCTTCCATAACAAACTGCAGAACTATCCAAACCTTCTCGTTTCAAACCTTGCTTCCTCCTCGATCCCTGATAACCCTCCGAGGCATCTGAAAAGAAGATGGCCACGGGATCTTCTAATATAGAACTTTAATTTGTGTTCTACCAGTATCTCTCCACGTTGTACATGTCATGTTACAATGTCACATTTACTTGTTGTATTTTTAATTTAATACAGTTTTAAATTTCATTTAAAAAAAAAAGATGTTATATAAAATTAACAGATCAGATAGCACTAATAGTTCATACGGATACGACTGTCGTCACTCATGTTTTACATGAAGGTATGATTCCCTCAGCTATCTGTTGCTGGAATTTCTTCACCTCCCCTCGATCAATAGATCAGTGTATTTTATATAGCAACCTTGTTAATCTGACGATTGCTTACTTTTATGAATTTATATCCCCGTCTCCCCACAATTCCATATAAGTTCTAGAAGCTCATCCGCCCGATTTTAGCCTTAAATATCAAGTCTGGATGTTTATCCCATCGTTGGTGTTTCTTCCTTTCACAAAGTCTGCAGGCTAATCTCTCCGTTTGTGAGCACTTTCTTGCGATATCTTAAGGGTCACACTTGAGGTCTTTCTTTCTTAGCCTTTTCCTCATCCACTGAGTCATTTATCTTCATTTGAACACGTTCTGTTGAGACCTTCTGTGTTCTCTGTTTACTTACCTCGCCAACACCTTTCCATTAACTACCATGTCCATAAAGCACTTGGTATTTATTGCCAAACAGATTATCTAAGGGACTTTTGATGTCGTGTTGTGTCCATTTAGAATTGTTTTCAATTAATGAAGTTCTGAATACGTGGTGGCGCAAAAGGTCTCAGGAAATGCATGTTGCCAAGTTGACTTAGATCGGAGAGTAGTAGACGCAAACATCAAACTCGCATATCATAAGAATATTTTATACCAATACTACCGATAATTCTGTAGTATCAGAATTCTGGTCCCCTTCATAATCCTTTTATAGCACATCAGCATCAATTCCGGCTCCATTGAGTGAAGAGTGGTCCACCAGTTCAGCGTTCTCTTCAACAATGCTGCTCTTAATTGTGTGCCTCTAGATTCCATTATCACAGAGTGGTTAGCGTTGTGCACGCTATGTGAGAAAAATTATAAAATAATTTTATATAACGTTCCTTGATCGTCTGCATGAATTAGAATAGTTTTAAAACCTACCTGAATCTCACAATTTCTCTCACCAGATCTTCCTCCTCTTACCAAAAGCCTTTGTAACACGACTTCCGAAATGGTCAGCTACCTGTCTAAACTTTCCGTTTAACTGAAGGGTAGGCCAATATAAGAGGGGTTACTAATATATTAAATAGTCTCATTACCAAAAAAGAGTGAAGGTAGCTTTAGATTTTTTTTTCAGTTTATTATATGATTATTATAAGACTACGATTTTTTTTCGGAATCTCAAGCGATACACATATTACCCAGTATTACACTGAGTTGAGATGGCTCTACCAATCCTATCGCCGTCAGTACTTCCTAGCCTTCTTTCTGTACCAAATCATTAGAACTCTTCGGCCCTCCTATATTTTTCACAGCTTACAATTCAAATGCTCCATCCAATCTCGTCTCACTAGATCTCGTACTTCCGACCTCGATTCTCCTCCTGACCGAACTGCTGCGCTTGACAAGTCCTTTGCAATATAAGCCGCCTCCCTCTGGAATTCCATCCCTGCTGATGACACGCTCAATCAGTTTCCTCTTTCAAACTTCTCCTCTTTAAACACCTACTCCTTTCTCAATCCGACTGATTGCGAAATATACTTAAGAGAAATGTCTAAGCACCCCCAGAGATTACCTCAATTTATATAGGTTATTTTAGTTTCTCATATTTCCAACTAAATAATTTTTTTTATTTAAATATATTTTATGCAATTTACATATGCGCGGCTGCGCATCTAGCAAATTTGTTGTGTTTGTACTGTCTTGGTGTATATTCTTGATTTTGTTTTTATTGTATACTCATATATATGTACAATTTTCTTGTTCTTTTCTTTCTCCTCTTCAGTATTTTTATTCCTTGTCAACTCTTATTGTAAATATATAATGTAATTGTAACCACATAGGCGTACAATCTTTATTTATAATTTGTTCTAAATGGACAACAGTCCCAGAATAATAAAATATTTTTTCATTTCATTATTTGCCTTACTATATTCGAATAGGATAATCGATTCGGCCTGGGAATCATATTCTGAATAGCCAAACAGTAAAAAATCATCATCAAAAAGGAGGCCGAAGATATCATAACCGCGATCAACATTCACTCCATTAGCCAGCTATTTGGTAGTACTATAAAGGAAACAAGATATACCCTCGTAGTAGCCACTAGGGAGGAAAGCCGATACCAGCTGTTTGGCTATTCCAGCCACCACAAGGTCTTTGTCATTAGCTACCAGCCTGGAATATAACCAGCCAAATATTGTTGAGTATAAACAGGCACAGTTCCGGCTGTCCAAGAATGATAACTGTGGGCTGCGTTAATACTATAAAACTGAGAAAAAAATTACCATTAACTTATACATTATTACAATTTTTCTTCATACTATAACAGTCAACAAATCATCAGTTCCATTAAAGAAGGTGACAATAAAATAGATTTAAAATATTACATTTTTCTATAAGAAAAAATTATTTCAATGTCCATCTGAGATATACAAACAAATCAATTAAATGGGCAAAATGTAATTCGATCGATACTGATGAGGAGGAAAATTCTTATTAGACGCAACAGGTCTAAGACGCTAGAACGGAAAGGTCAGATGTCAATTTTCTACCCTCTTTGGGATGATTGTGTATTTTTATTATTTTTGTATATGTTTACTTATTGTATCTTTTTTTTTATAGAAAGTATAATTTCATATTAAGATAGTTAAATTAAAATTAAAGATAATACGACGAGAGGACCGTTAGAAGAGGATTACTTCACATATCGCCACTGTTAGTGCAAAAGGTCTATGCTATAACAATTTTGTATGTTAATTCTATTTGTGCTAAAGGTTCCATTTTATAGTCTTCAACTGCAATAAATAGTCTGCTACGATAGAAAACAGTATAGGAAAAGAAAAATGAAATTATACTAATAAATCATAAGAAAATAATCAGTTTTTAGGCTCTTTTGTAAAAAAAATCTATTTTACCTACGTCCTTTACTAACAAGTAGTGATATGTTAGATTATTTCAGCTACATATAACATACATCGCTAAAATAATATATATTTTTTTTAATAGACATGAATGCTAGTTTATTCTGTAACAAACTGTAACAAAAAAGTTAATTTTTTTGTAATTGAGAAATTCAGTCAGGCAGTAGGCTAATAAAAACCGTCTGCCAAGTAAGGTCAGTATAACGTTATTTTGTGACTATTGCCTACCTTTTATCCAATTTTAAGCCAAATTGAACGAGCTCTTTCTGAAATATTGCCATATCTAAAAAACTACGTTTGCGCGTACGTAAGCGGAAGTAATGGACAGAATTTGAAAACAATTGATATGGAACCATCTAGGCACCAACCCGCACAATCCCTGAAAATTTCATTAAAATCGGAAGAAAACTACTAGGTGAAATGCCTGTCACTTCGATTTGACTACAGACAGACACCGAATCAAATTTGATAAGTGATGTCTGAGACGTAAAGTGCGAGTGAAAATTTTGGATTATGAACACAAAATTTCACGAACACAATGCTTCCCTACCTTCGGTAGTGAGGAAGCAAAAAACAAAAATTCATTTTTTTTCATTCATCAAGGTTCATCTTCTTCTTTAGATTTTATCTTTTGTGCCTCTCAGCGTAAGGGGGTGAACAGCCACAAACTCCATTCTTCTCTTCTTCTTCGCCAGGATCCTGGCTCGACGGAGATCTTTGCCTTTTCCTTTGCAGAGTCTATCGATGTACTCCAGATCTGAAGGTTTTCGCCATCTGGAGCCTAGCCCATTGTCTTCAATGGGCCCCTATGTTCCTCACTCCTAAACACACGGCCAAACCATTTCAATTGGAAGATTTGCTGAACCTCTTTCAATGAGGCGACCAACACAACAGCTCCTGGGGTATACTTTCGTTACGTACCCGGTCCATCCTAGTCTTACCGACTGTTCTTCTCAGAAACTTCATTTCAGCAGCAGCGAGTTTGATCTCTTGCATGTCTATCAATATTCAGCTTTCAGCTTTTTAAATTCCAGCTTAAAGTTTTTTTTAATGTTGTATGGGAATGTTAATTTGGAAGTAAGAGTTCAGCTTGTTTTAGGGATCTCTTTGTGGAAAGAATATCATTTTTTTTTTAATTAATCTATTAATACGTTTTATATATATATTTTTTGGAAAATATTTTATATTAGATTTGGTTAGGAGTTGCGTATTGTTTATGTTCTACAGTTCTTTCTTACTTTGTAAACCTCTAGTTACCCAATTAACTAAGACAATGTACTTTTAAACATTGGTACACTACTGGCGGTGTGCTAACTTATATAATAATAACTTTCTCCAAGACACTATATACTGGACTTTGGACTAAATATATTTTTTAAAAATGGATAAATAACAACAATATCTAGATGACAGACCTGAGCATGTACAAGATCTCGCCGTCCGGGTTGATTCGGATGAGTACGTTGGGCACCGTGACGAACTGGAACTCGGCATGCTTAGCGTTGGGAAAGTAGACTTCGGGCTTCCAGATGGCTTTAACGAGGTTGGGGTCGTTGAGATCCAGCACTTCGGTGATGTCTGGGTGCTGGAGGCGCTCGTCGTGCCACTTCTGTCGCAGGTACAGGTCTACCTCGTAGTCCTGCAACAAAGAGGAAATGTAGCTAAAAAATTACTTTTTTAAAAATAAAATTAGTCGATTTACTAAATAAAAAATAACATATTGAACAAAAATTTCTCAAGATATATATATATAATTTGAAGACGGTAGCCTACTGAGAGAGACTCACATTAACCGGGTATTGGATTGATGACTTTTAAAGTTTTCCAGAAACCAGCAGTCTCAATAGTCGTTCCCCTCCAGATGTTTGGTTGAAGACCTGTCTGTTTCAAAAAAAAGAAATATTGGTCCATGCGCACCGACTCTGAGCAGTCATAATTCATGGATTTAAACCAATTTCTCAACCAATTGCCCCCCTAGATCCTGAGTGAGTCGATGGGTAGGACATTGCCTGATTATCCCAAAAGGGTTGAGCTATGAAGCTAAGGATGGTCACATATGGGGTATATATGCATGTCTAAGCTTATAATGCTAACAATATTGCATATAAAATATTAAAATCCTGTATTTTCGCTCTTTTCCTGTACTACATCATATTACATTACATATTTTTTGCAATACCTATTTTATTGTCCAATCTTCAAATAGACTTCGAACTTGTCAAGCCTTTAAAAAGCGCGAATATACCTAAATGCGAAATAAATATTCTAGCTTCCTATAGGAATTTTCGTTAGTTGAAGGTAGACGGAGAAAAATAGATATAATATCCCTTGAACACTTCCAATAATCGACAAAGACTTTATAAATATAAACAAATTTTGTGGATTTCCTTGGCTGTCATTATCACCAATATGAAGGCTGGCTTCTACATGCCACTCTTATTAAGCGAGAGAACTAATTACAAACCAAGAATCTTCCTCTTTTGTACGAACGTAGTAAGTTTAAATGTACCAAGAAAAAAAAAAAAAAAAAACCTGTACCACCACAATCCACGAAGGGTCTTCAGGAGGAGTTCAATACTTTGATAGGAAGTATTGTTTCAGGCGGTTGTGCAAGTATATGACCTAGTTTTTCCCCTTAATGAAGGTTACCCACTTTATAGAGACTGGGTGTGCCCCAGGAGGGTCTTCATGTCGTTCCACGGCTGATGAAAAATGACTTGACCTCAGCCGGATTAGAACTCGGGACCATGAGCTTATCAAACAAGTGCCTTACTTACTTAGCTACTTTGGTACCCTAATAGACAATTTAAGAGAAATTATTAACAATAATGTGAACTAATATTTAGCAGTAACGGTGAATTTTTACAAATGGGTTTAATTAGCAGCAAATTTATTTTTTTATTCAGCAAATTGGCAAATTATTCATGAAAAACTTGGAAAATTTCGACAGGGTACATTGCAGCAGTAATAGTTCTCAGCTTTTGGATTCAATAGGTTTTTTTATATAATTAAAAAAAAGAATTCTGCACAGTTTTAAATTAAGAAATGGCAAACTACAGATGAATGAATAAAAATTTCACACTTATCTCCTTAGCAAAGTAACAAGGAAACCTTCCTGAAACAAAGATCATTACACCATTAAAATACCAACTACCAATTGGCTCGTACCAGTCGACTGCGTGAGTGATCGAAACACGCTCTGATGGATGACTCACATGTTGGGGTTCAAACGTTGGCACTAATAAAAACTTTATAATGACTGTACTAATAATTATAACTGCGTCCAGAATATTTATCACCCATGATATGTAGAATCGACAATCGAACAATCGACTAATTTCCTCCAATATTTCGTTGAAAATTAGACAGCGACCGGTGAAGGGAGAAGTATAGACAGAGACTGGTGCTGTCGGCATCAAACCCTTGAGTTCCTTAAACCTTTTATAATTATTATTATTATTATTTCAAGTAAATAAGGTAAAATAAAAACATACATCTGTTTTTTTCGCTCTAGTATTAAAAAAAAAAATCGGCGAATAAAGAACATATACAGAATGTGTTACATTCATACTTAATTTTTAAAAAAGAAAAGCGGTGGATAAAGACCTGCTAAGACAGAGTTAATAAGAAGAACAGAGACTTCATTTTTGAAGTTTTAGTTATTTTTGTTTTATATTCTGCAGGATTGTACAATTTTGTTCTTTTAACATAAAAAAAAAAAAAAAACATTCTCGCCGAGATAGGGCCTAAACATTCAGAAAACTTTGTGGATGTTTAACAACTAAAAAGTAACAAAAAAACTTCTGTGCCCTCTTCCGTATTAAAAAGTTTCATACGATGCTAAAGTGCTAAAGGTTTTACATTGAGATATTTCAAAAGTTTCAAAGGAGCTTCTGTTAGCCTTCACATCAAATTTGGGAGTATTTTTGATAATTTCTTCGAGCCTGCTTTAGCGGATTTGCCTCAGTAAAAAATTTCGATTTCCGCAAGAAAAATAAATGTAACGAGTAGTAAACTTTTGTTTACAATCCGTCAACTTTCTGGACTCTACTGAGTCCTTTAGGTATTATTATTATTTGAAAGCCTTGAAGAATCATTACATTAAAAGTTTTTAATTTTTTTTTAACAAATAATAATATGTTTGTTTATTGAGAAATATTAAGGACATTTATAATAGCGTCGTTTTTAAATTAAATAAATTAGAAGTTATGATCTATAAACATAAAATTAGATTTGATTTTGTACGTTTTAAGTGATACCTCCTTACAGATAATAATAATTGACTATAAATAAATATTCGATAAATTTAACACAATGGTTTATTTCCAAATAGCTATATATCAATAAGGTTATGCGTGTCGCTCTATTTTTCTTATCAATTCATGGAAAAGTACAATATAGAAAGTGCTTGCCAATATTGACTTGCTTAAGAATATTTCTTTCATTGATTGTTAAGAAATATCAACATTATAAATTCCATATTACAGACAGCAATACTTTTGATTTGATGTTTTTTTACCACCCCTTTATCGCCTTTTAGGCTATACGAGGTTTTTCTCGGGCCAAGGAAGTCAGCACCGGGACCCGAACGTAATTGCTTTATCATTTAAAGTTCGGTTTATCAGGTTGTCGGACAACGCATGTTTGGCACAAGCAGTCCCCGATTTTATTTTTATAACCAACCTACCACATTTTTTTTTTCAAGTTAAGAAAAAATAAAATATTTCAAATGCACATATCAGAAAACTGCAGCTACACTATCCTTAGGGTTCGAATTCCCATGTAAAATAAAAAGTTAAATATGTACGAATCAATATGATGGAAGTTGAAGAAAAAAAATAGAAATATTTAAGAAAAAAAATCTCCTGCGGTTCATTAGAATTTTCAGTTTCACATTATTTTCAGTTGATTAAAAAATATAATAATAAATCTTCAGTATATAGCCGGTTATTTAAAGTTTGTTTATTTTGTTAATTTTTACCATGTTAATCGATACGAAAACACGGTAAGTGAATAAAAATGACACAAACTCTTTTATTTTTATGGAGACATACCAAGTGCACAATGTTCTGATTTCACAGAAAAAAAACTTAAGTTAATGAAGTGTTACTTAATGACTTTTTGGAGAAGTCCCCTTTTAATATTGGGTGGTTCAAATTCAGTTTACAGAATGATTGCATCGTTTCATTATTTTTTTATAAAAATCTAAGGTAAATTAAATATTTTATGTTTTAAAATCAAACACCTGCTTTATTATATAAAAAGAAGAAAATAATTAAAACATGATTTTACAATTCAACTATTCTAGAACCTCCGTCATCTAGTTCTTTGTTAATTAAATTAAGTAAAATATAAAATATAAGTTATAAAAATATGTGGGACACGAAAAGGCCTAAGATGAATATAACGACCAAAATGATAAAAGTTTTAGCGATACCGCCTAGGGATTTATGAGTGGCTATAACGAATTGGGAATTTTTATTAAAATATAGGAACTGTTTTTGACAATATATCAATACCACTTTCCAATATATAGATATTGGAAAATGGAAGGTGTTTTATGGAAGCTATCGGCGAAGACAGTATCAAATATCCATTTGTCGTTTAGCTAGAAAGAGGAGAGGATGGGAGTATGTATAATTGAGACAAATCCCTTGTTTTAAAAATGACCCTAAATCATGCTTACTACTTCCCCTTGAGCATTCGGAATTATAATGTACGAGAGAAGAAAAAAAATTTTTACGAAATATTCTTGTATGTTATAATGTTAAGCTTAGGGTATTAATATATTTCATTTCAGTTAAACGCATAAAAAATACCTCAATTTATTGCAGAACGGTTAATAATTATATATTAAATAGGTGTGGCATGCCATACTAATTTCCTTATCAATTAGGGTGAAAATACAATATAAAATTACATATTATTCATAATGATGTATTTACATATAACTCTTAAATACTTACTGTCAGATTCGACTTTTTTTTTTTCTCTTCAGAAACATAGAGTTTACTGCTAAGAAGAATGTAATGTATTTTTTATTTTATTTTTTTCTAAAAGTGTATATTTATATTTTACCACTGTACATAGTTTTAAGTGTCTTGGCATGGTTTCAAGTGTTTTGTATATAGATTTTTTTTAATTTTGTACATAGTATGTTTAACTAATATTTTCTTTACTTATTTCTCTTTATTTTTACTTTTTATGTTTGTTTTTATTTAGGCCAGACATAATATTTTAATTTTGTACTTTTTTTGTTATTCTAAAGGGACTTTGTCCCTGAATAAAATTATTTTCTATTCTATTCTATTCTAAAATGTATTTACTAACATTGACCTACATAAGAATATATATATATATATATATATATATATATTTTTCACTTTTGAAGTACACTTAGCGCTTTATTTTGTGCGGGTATTGAATGAGAGATATCCGTCACGCTCGGCTATGTAACGCTTATTTAGTGTTTTTTTTTTTTAACATTTGGATTGAAATATCTCAAAAACTAAAATAAGGACCTGCATATTGTAAGCGAGAGAAATTTTCAAGGTTTCATCCTACTTGTAATAAGCTCTAATTCAATGCGATTAAAGTATTGAAGAACTCTGTACTTCCGAAAAAAACAGCATTTCTTTTATTGAAGAATATTCGTAACAATACTAAC